CTCAATCTTTCTCAGATAACCGAATATGACGACGGTACCACATATAAGAGATGAGGTTAATCCGATTTAAAATACGTGATTACACGGAAATTAATATTGTCATTCTGATATGTCCTTAGTGTGGACGCAATATACCCTTCCATTGAGAGTAAACATAATGCAACAATACGTGCTTTGCTACCCTAGATTGCAAAACTAGGCTTATTCGAGCAGATGATCACCAATCACTTGTTTTGGCCAGCGTTATATTAGCAGCACCCAGTCCGTATAGTTTAAGGACCGTGTGTGTGACAGTGAGATTAGACAATGTGTGCCAGTGATATATAGTCTTCTTTTCGGTGAGAATATTTCAATGCACCGTCTGGGGTAATTGGGGAACATTCTGCAAACAAAAGAACAACTGCCACCCTGTGCTTTATTTGAATGCATTAATCGTATGTAACTCACAGTTACTTGCGGTGTGGTATATTTTTAATATTGACTGCTTTGAACTAACTATCCTTATGACTTCACCTTCAAGCATAACCCTTCATCCGTCGATTCAACTATACAGACAGAAGCACTAGACTCGAGTCTCGCTCTCATTAGAGCTCATCAGTAGTGGATATCCACCGTCCCGTCCGGGATTTGAACTCCGGACCCATCGTATGGAAGGTGTGTGCGTTACCACTGTGCCAACCAGCTCATATCATGTCTGAACCGAAGTGGCAATTCATTTTTGTCCAGTGATAGTCTTTTGTCTTCAGTGATAGTCAGTCAATTCAACTGACCCAGGAGCAACGAAGGGAGACACCGATGCCGTACTGTTAACTCCAATCGAAAACCTTCCACCAAGTCATGACCTCCATGCAGGTTACGGGTTAACTAAACACAAACCTACCAAGCTCAATTAATTATTCGCATGTAACTCACAATTATTTGTGAGTACAGATGTGAGATATTCTTAATATTGATTGATTATTTGAATGCATTCAAACAGAGTGAAAGAGCGCTGTAGCCAAACCATGGCATTGCTTTGAAGGATGAAGAAACTGTTGGGATCCGGATCACAAAATTTCGTATTTCGTTTGCTGGAAGCACAGCATTGATTCAAAATTAGTGGTTTATAATCACTTTAAGTGATTACATACAGAAATGAAAAATGAGCATTATAATCATAAAAGCTGGGAAGACTCCAGTTGATGGAACCATGCGACTAAAGATAACGAAACGCACATTTTGTCTGTTCTTTTTGTTGTATCGTTTGCGTAAGCTTAATGTCTGTTATTGAAAACGATATCTGCACAAGCGGGATTGGAGGTTCTGATCATACCGTGCGTAGGCTGCTTGGCACAGCTTTACCACACTCAGAATTCAAATCTCAGGGGGTCAGTGGATATAACATACTGATGCGTTCTATCAAGAGCAAAAACTCAATTTCCATGCTTCCTGAGTGTGTTGTTACCTGGACAAGTTCATAATTGTAAATACAAAGTACTAAGGCTGGCCAGTCAAACCAAAGTGTTTTGTTATATGCATCGAACCATAACTTGATTGTTTGTTCACTATTCCTAAGAGTCTGTGGTTATTTTGGCCCAGCATCTATAAAGATCGGTACATGCATCACACGTAGCATGCAAGATTCATTCAAATAATTTGGTTAGACACTTATTGCTCTCGTTTATTGCAGGTGCATGCTCCCAGCTGTATGTAGTACACCAGGCAGAATGACCTGATTAACGCGAGATGTTTAAAGTAACTGTTGCATTATGCTTCTGTAAAAGTAGATCAAAGATCATGATTTCCTACAATCTGTTGGGTCTTGGTCCAGGTCCAATGGTTTGCATCTTCAGGTCATTACATTCGAAGATCTTTCTTTTAAATATGTCTTAACTAAAATACCGTTCACCTTCTTTCTTCTTAGCCTCTCCGTGAGCCTCAGTATGGGCGACAGTGGTTTACTGGAGTTTCGACTGGTCAGATATCCCTTTTATCAGATGAAATGCTCCCACATGACCGAAGGTTTCAAATACCTTTATCTTAGTGAGCTCCTATCATTGTCTTCACACGACTGGGGCCACTAATCACCAAAGCAAAAGGACGAAGATCCAATATCCAGAGCTGTAACCGAATGGATAAATCACTGGCAATTCACCTAGGGGAGTTGTCCAAACACTCTGATTTTCAACCAGCCAAGAATAGGTGTACGTATAATGACCAAATCTTTCGGCTAGTGGAAGTGATCACCAGTTTGTTTCGAACTCGATTGTTTTGGGCACCTTGTCACCCGTTCAAAAGGAGCATGATCCGACAAACTGGGCACCAGCATTCTGTGGCTTACGGCTTTTGCCTACTGACCAGCCCCAATGTGGTCCAGGCACAACCGAAGGCTTTCTTCGTAATTTTCTCAAGAAAATTTATTTGATTTGACAGGGAAAACAAGGTAGTATTCCGTTCTAAAGAATTATTTGATTTTTTAATGAAGAATACTGTGGTGTGAATTGTTTCGTATAAACAGACGCTTGTAAAATACAATAACAACAATGATAATCTTTTTCTTCTTTTTCTTTGAACGAAAATTGATAGACTCGGGTTTTGTGCTTCTTCAATTGAACAAATACTACATAAAATTAACTTAAATATCTCAAAGCAAGAAGAAGCTGGGAAAACGAACAAAATAGCAGATGCCTGCATCCCAGGATGGTGAGAAAACAATTGTGAGGCAAACAAGCCAGGCTTCAACTACTTTTCCTAGGGCTTATATGGTTATGTAGTAAAACCTTACACTACGTATTTCAATTTCTACACACGATTCGGTCATTTCGATCATCTGTTCTGTGGTTAGCAAAACACGCTGTAGGAAGATGTGTTTGTAACTTGGTTAAGTATGAAATTAGGGTGTAAGTACGTCAACTTAACCTAACCTTAACTTTCGGATATGATCAAGGAAAAAGGGTTGTGTTCATTTCAGGGACTGGCAACAGTTTTGAGACCAGGGTAGTCTGAGCGATTTCACTGTATTACAATGATTCCAATAAACATTTGTGCACCTAGATTCAACTGTAACGCCCGTTTGAGGTTCCGTTGCAATATGATGAAGGTCGGAAAAGTTGTGTGATTGCTGTGGGTTCCTCCTTTGATCTCTTTTGACGAACGTATTCGTTGTAAAATTAGGAGTTACAGAACAGTTAGGTATCCGGCTTTGTATTACTGGCAACTGAATGACATTTTTAGCCCGACGGGCAACAAAACTTATATAAAAACGTTTAAAAAAGCATCCTAGAAAGCCCAGAGAACCATCAGTATCTCATCAAAGCTAGAAGTTGAGGATGAGTTTCCCTTTCTTGGTTACACTCAGAAGACTTCGCCATATTAATTTCGAGTGACCGGTTAGTTCAAACCAACACATGAGGGTCGATATACTTATTGCGTGTCCGGTTTAGGTAGATAAACACGTATGCACTGAATAAAGCAGTTTTTCTTTTTGCAGTCTGTACACACGCGTAACCGATCTGCAGGTCGGTGCACAAGACATGCAGTTCTTAAAACAGGACGTGTAGACAAGCGCAGACGCTACATGAAATCAGCATACTGTCAAATAGTAGAGTCCATGAGTACAAACAGTTCACTACAGACATTTGATTCAGTGAAACGAATCTTTTTTCATAAAGGAGATTCGTATTACCTGCGTGCATACGCTCGTAATAGCAGGCAACATCAGTCAAACAACCAGTCCGACCACAGGCATGCATGACAAACGTTCCGGTTAATTGTAGGTCCTAAAAACTAGTTTCTCTAGTTCCTCGCCAATAAAGCGCAGTCAGAGGTTCGTTGAATGTCTTGCAGGTTGAGCTATCTGCAGTGCTTTTATAGCAAACACAACCAAGAACCAGAAAATCTTAAGAAAGTTCTACTGAATTATGACTGTTAAGAGAAAACCTCGATCAAGAAACCTCAAAATCCACAGAAACAGAAAAAAGCTGGGACACATCGTTCAGAAAAAAGATTTGTTACACCTTCTCCATCGCTTCACTACGTGCCCACTCAATTATTCGACTGAAAATCAGGCGAACCCTGAATATAAGTTAACTTTTCACGCCTCAATCATAAAAAATTATTCCTTTCTTTGATCGTTTGGCAAAAGATATACGCAGAACGACTAGGTAAAAGTAACAAAGGATCAAGAAAAATAACTGCGTGTTGTAGAGCACAAACACAAGAAAAACTATCTCAAATACAACTGCAGCGCGACTTTAGGAAACCATACGTCAAGCAAAGGAGGCTCAGAAACAGTTCATCACAGCGTACCCAATTCGAGTCATCGTCACTAGTCTGATCACGTACGGAGAATACAGCAAGCAGCGCTTTAGAAAGATCAGATAACAGATTATACGACTATGATTTACTAGCGCGAATTCATATTTCAACAGTTATGAGCCGCTGTGACTTATTCTCCATTCCATTACTCATTTTAAATTGGCCTATTTAATCAGCTTGCTTACCTCTACCAGCAGTCTTCACTTTTGGTAACTCAATGGAACAAAACATTTTAACCGTAATCCACTGAAGTCACATTGGTGACGTCTTCGTTTGTCAAATCTAAAGCTTTGTATACCGGTTTACCGATTATCAACAATAATGCAGTTTTTGCTTCATGCAGTATCTTAGCAGTGTTACGAAATACTGACGTCTGTGAAATTCGGATGTTTTGCATCATTTTGTTGAGTCGATTTGACTTTATCTCTGATAAATTACTCCATGGTGCATTCGGAAAAGTTTTTGTAACCGTTTCCTAATCGCAGATTCAGTTTTTGCTTCAGTTATATTTAAACAGCTGTAAGTTATTCCTATTATGAAGAGACTCTTAGACGGTAGCTCATTATCGGATAATATCTAACTAAAATGAGAAATAATTTTAGCCTGATAATCCGTATTCCGAACCCAAAAATGAGTCATACTTATGTTTACCAGTAACTTACCAGGTGACATTTGCACATATGCTTCTTCACTTTCAGTTGAATTTGAACATTCGGACTTCAGGTCAGAGTGAAGAGCATCACGTCGATCCAAGTGAAACTGGGTTGGAGATTCATTCGCATCTCGGTTTAAGCTGAACATAATGCGAAGAACGACAGGGATCATAATCCATATAAATTTAAGTAATATTACGTCTGGCTTATATTGAGCCGATGCAAAAGTTCTCAAAACCATAAGATATTTGTTAACTATTTAACTTCACCTAACTTCTACTATGTGCACCATTCAAAAACTGCGAAGTGCAAACGAATCAAAACAATGAATGTAAGCAAAGTGTATTTACAACGTTGATTGTAAGTGTGCACTTATGTATTACAGATGAAAATCTTTCGAGCGAAGTTCGTGATCTGGATATAATCAGGTAACCTTCAGGGTTTTCAGTAGGGGGCAGGTAGTACGTGAGCAGATACCACTTAATGCTAATTTGACATGGTAAAGATTTGAACCTGCTTGTGTTGTATGTGTAGTTGTGAATATCAAAACGGATAGAAAGAGAAAACGTGTGAACTAAGGCTCTTTGATGAGCTGAATCCACAAGGTATGAATCGAACTTACTAATGAGGGATTAAATCAAAACGCTCCTGAAAAAGAAAATTACATCCCCCTGTTCTTTTCAAGACGAGCTTTCATGGTTATCTGTTGCGAACAAAAAACGGTTATACAAACTTAATTTCAAGAACACTGTTCTAACCAAACCTGAAAACATCCTGAGAGAAGATATTTAATAAAAAATAGATATAAAACAAAAAGTCGAAAGAAAATTGATTAAGTAACAGCTGGGGTTTCCGTACCCAATACTAGCAGGTACGTTTCTCTGCTAACTGCAATTAAAGTTACAGTGATAGTCATCTACACAACGTGAGTACGAATAAAAGCCTTTGCTAATAGCATTCTAATGGTTTGTATTCATCGTACGTCATAGTGTACCACATTGGAAATACACAGTGATTCACCGTTAATGAGGTAAACTTTGAATGCAATGGCATACGGTCCAAAAGACAGTTTGCACTTTGTAAACACTGTAAAGATGAATCATCAAAATCAGAGATTGTGATTAAGATTTTATGTATCGTATATATAATAATTTGTATCTTTACGAGTTAATTGACCAACAATTTGAAACACTCAAATAATTCTTATTCTTTCTTCTAGAGGTCGATAGATTTTCCCTGGTCTATATTCAATACTACTAATCTCGTAGGAACTATAGTGCTTAAGCATAGTCTTTCAAAGCAAACCTTAGAGTGAGTAGCACTTCATCAGTTGATCAAACATTGTAGTTGTGTCGAATCAGAAAAAAAACATTAGTTTAAAATCCGTAATACCTGATTTGGCACAGCACCCACTCCACTTCCAAGACTAATCGATGAGGATCGTTTGAACTGCAAGTTCACATTTTATAAGGATTCAGTATTTGTCATTCTACATTCTGTAACGACTACTATCATGCACAATAGAAGGAAAACAATTTGAGCATTTATTATGGTTCCGTTTGTTGACCGAACCGACGGAATTTATACAGCCCTGTCCGCAAGTCAGGGCATTACTAACGAGCAGAGAGTGCACTTCGATCGGAGCAATAACATTCAACTACTTTTTGTGTGATGACAGAAGGCACATTGTTCCACGAGGATGGTACATTCTCAGTTGTGATCTAAATTCGAGAAACTTTGAATAAAGAAAACAGAACTCGGTCGCACTATGCTCATTCATTAATCACCAATGTCACCTGATGATAGAACATTTTATTGTGTTCTTTGTATGAGAAAAATGAGAAGGAAGTTACCCTAACAAGGAATTCCAAGTAATACATCTTTAGTAAATAACAGAAAAACCTAGAATTCTGCTATACTCAACGTAAATCCCAGGTGTGAGACCACTGGCATTGCTTTAGACTTACTTCAAACGACATACATGATATTGCGAAAATCACGCGATGCATCTGAATGAAGTAACTTTTTCTAATTATTAACTGCTTGTATGTCAACTTTTTCAATCACGGTTACTATATTTCATTGAAACTGTTTTCCGTCGCTTGATACTGCAATGCTCAACATTCCTCTTGTGTATGAATAAAGTTGTTCTTTATTAGGCCTGAATATGGAATGAATATGAATAATTTTTAATCTGGATTAAATATTGTTTTGCAATAGAAGAATGGGCTGATAGAAAAGCCTCTTCTAATGAGCTTTGCATGCGTGTACAGTTAACAAATGATTAACTGATTCCAAAAGCACTTGTGCTTAAAGAGAATAGTCCTCTGAAACGTTGGGTGTTCAGCTGCGGCATGGATGAGTTAAGCGAATGAAATACCAACCATTAGTGTCATCATTATCATGTTCATATCATTGAATTATTAAATTTCCCCTCCTCAAAAAACTGCATTGCATTATAATGGATATAACATGGTGATTTACAATCATATTTGCATTAGACCAATAAATAGGGCTGTCATAAGGAGTTGCAGCCGCAATACAACACGCTATAAATTACTGACACTTCAAATACACGGTTTCACCTGAACAGTATTTGACTGGTCTCACAAGTTTGGATGATGGTACTGTGAAAATTCACCACTCCTCTCTCCTAATGTGTACTCGCGTGTATTGCTGGGTATAAGTCAACGTTAGCTCACGCTGATCAGGGTTGAGGTGTCAGGACAAATGCTAATTTATGGATCATGGGAAAGTTGAAGGTGCGCTACCTTCACGCGATGGAACAAGATGTCCTCGCAGTGAACACAACCGGAGCCTGCCAATGAACTAGTTTTTCTTAATGAACTCATCTATGAGTAACAATGGTTTAAATATGGACTGAGCAAAATAGTTTTGAAGATACCATGACTGGAACTGTTTCATTAGTTGCGCTGCATACTAGGTAGTTCCGCTGGTTCATTGCCGCTCCACACCCTTAGCGGATTTGAAGCCATATGGAGATAAACAATTGGCGAACAAACTAACTGAGAAACTGTACATATGGTATAGGGCATCGGTCACAAGATTTAGTCCCCTCCCCTCCAAAAAATAAACCCTTTTATTTGTACATTACGCATAACACTGGTTTTTGTTTCTAAGAAGCTCCTATTCACATCCCTCGTAAATACAATAATCAGTTATGTAGCTTTAATCCACTTCATTGTTATCGCCAGTAATAAAAAGCCTCAATCCAAATTTAAACATTATATTGTCCAGACGTTCCCCATGATATGTCGGAAATTCATTTATCTTTCTCTCTCTCTCTCTGAACCATAGCATTACTGTCATCATAGGGGAAACCATAAAATGTGCAAAGTAACTGCAATCTTTTGAGCCCTGTGAAGAAAAACTAAAGTAGATTTAGATGCCTGATGCACACAGAGTACGAAGTTTATTTGTGAGAACAATACTTGAATCTATTAAAGCAGTCTGATCTGAGTAGAAATAATAAGCATAATAATTGGAAATAACTGTCTATCTCAATTTGTGGTCTTTTGAAGTACAGGTTTACGTAGTTTTATTATTACAGAAAATGTTTATCATATTCTATAACCATAGAAGTAACTTTGATCATCCCCGACCCTAAATATGATTCAAATTATTAATCCTTTAGATATCTAATATTTTCCCAGCGTGCCCACATTGTTTTTATTGTGCAATCAACTACAAACCAGAACATAGGATCGATCAAGGAACACGAATGAGAGAGTATATTTCAATGCGATGCACGTTGTATTTAACGAAAAGGTTTTAAGAATTGAAGAAACACTACAGAAAACGCATATTACATAAACTCACTTAAGTTTGTTCAGCGTTAAAACATCATGTGGCGAGTCCATGTCAAACGCCTTGGATTTCCATTTCAACTCCAGTTCCCTTGGATAGTTACCCAAATCGCCTTGAAAAATTCCAGTGATCTCATTTTGTACGGCATCATTGTGCCAAGATATGCCTCTATACGAAGAGAGCCCATCAAACGCAGACTGCTCATGGGATTGTGATGAACAGTTTGGTATTAAGCAAACATCATTCCTTTGTCGAGTGTACGGATGATCCGCCGTGATCATTTTGTCATTTTTGTGGGGCAATCCACCGAATGCATCATATTGAGCCATAACTAGTGCTGTCGTGGAAGCAGCCAGCAGTACCTGTTTTTGACGTTCTTTACGGCTCAGACGTTGGGGAGTAAGTGCACGCAATCGCTGCCGCGGGATTTGATGAAATACTTCCTGAAGTTTTCAGTGCAACATTTGGAACACATGCGAGAGACAGACGGGGAAATAAATAGGGGAGCCAGAACTCGTTAACCCGAGGTTTGTTGAGATGTATATGGTAAGTATTGTTTTTAATAATTACTAGATATACCTTCTAACATTAGCGATGATAAACATTTTAATTCCTTCCGTTAATTAAAAACCAAATAGCACAATCATTTTCCGCGAAGGACGCTGTAGTTCATCAAAAGCTGCCTGAAGAAGTATAAATAACATAACTATCAAAGGTGGCGGTGGAATTTGAATACACAACGTACGGGCCTACATTACAGTAATCTTAACCTCTTGATCAATTTCAAGAGGTACTTTATATACTTCTTCAAGTCAGGCAGTAATGATCAAGTCTTTTTGATGAAAGCTACCTTTTGGGGGTTGAAAACAACCAAACAGTACACCGATGTACTCCATATTTTCAATTTATTACATACAAAACAACCAACCATAGAACACGATTATCAAAATATGTGCATTCTCAGTAAAATCGAGAAATTTTTATTTTATTATTATTATTATTTAAATTAGAGGTATTTAGTGTATATTTATGGTTCAGGTAGGGCAGCTTTGCGTCCAGTTTCTGGGTAAAGTTATCCATTAGGATGCGATCTTTTCATCGAAGGCGGGATGCATTCTAAATGCGATGATAAGATATGAACGAGTCGACTGTCTTCCGGGCAACCGAAGTGATTTGATTTCTGGAATAAACGCTTGTAAATTCTACTTATTATTATTATTATTATTATTATTGTTTGCACAAAGCCATCAATGGAGTGCGAAGTTGTTTAATTATGCGATTAGTGTCTGTTGTGTTGAAATGATGATCAACTGATGTTGATGCGACTCTGATCACTGCTCTCCACATCAGAAAACATGAATATTTTGAAATATAAATCCGATACCTAATGCATCAGCAACTGCAACTTTATTGAAATAATTTTGGAATAAAAACAAAATAATGGGGTCGCACAAATCCCAACAGAAACCGCGCATTCAATTTTATTAACAATAACCAGCTGAAGTATAAATTTGAAAAAAGAAGCCAAAAACAGGTTTGCACAAGGTATCCTGGATTATTTCGCTGCATCTGTACACAAGCATACTGCAGTCTATGTGATCATTGATATATGATCAGTAAATAACAGAATCATAGGCGGAGAAAGATTGCGGTCAAAATTACTCACCAAACACATTGGTTACCAAATAGCGCCAGAGTGATAAGCCATTCACGCTGTTTACACAGTGTGGGATGGTAATTTTGAATGGCTAATGCCTCAGCGTATTTCTGAATCTTGGTGTTTTTTGTGTTGTAGAGGATTTTGAACGCATCGCGCAGCATGACCCAGGTTTCATTTCGACCAGGTGTTGAGTGATCGACGAACTGAGTTCATTGGTGACCTCATACTTCTGAAGTTTCATAGTTTGCTGAAGCCAGATCGGGATGTGCTCGTTTATTCGATAACGCAGTTGTCTCACCGTTCTGCCGATGTAGATGGCCGAGCATCCACACTTGAACTGATAGACACAATTAGATTTGGCGTGGGGAAACAGCGGTTCTTTCACCGATGACATTGACAACCGGGTGGTTGTAAAAACAACAATGGGGTCAGCTGCGTAGTAGGTGCGCTTAACGGCCGATTTTAGGCGCTTGGTAATCAGGCAGCTGATATCGCCACTTTTGAAGGACAGTTGCAGGACCACTCTCATCTTATCTGCACCTGGTGTCTTTTCCTGAGTATGGTTGGGTTGAGAGTGCTTTAAGATAAACCCTTTCGGATATGCGTTAGAAGGTGAAACTTTTCTGATCTTTTCATATTCCGTATCCAATGTATCCGTAGTGCAAATCAACGGCGCCCTGTAGAAGAGCGTTCGAACTGAACCAATCTTATATCCCATTGGAGCAAATTTGGTAAAATAGAGATATTATCCGGACCATGTATCCTTCCGGTACACAGATCTTCTGATTGACCCATCGGTTCGACGTGAAATTTCCACATCCAAAAAGGCTATGCTGTCTTGCGTTTCAGTGTGGCGTGTCAACGTTATGTTCGGGTGGAGATTATTTAAGTGTTCAAATAATCTCTCCCCGTCTTTCTTTGCATCATAAATAATAAATTTATCATCAACGCACCGGCAGTATAGATCCTGCTTTTTAATTTCGTCCCTCAATCGATGTTCTAGATGTCCAAAGAAAATGTCCGCAAGCATAGGCTGCAGAGGACTGCTCATAGCGACTTCATCTATCTGTTGATGGCATTCACCTAAGAAGGAGAACTTCACATTATGGGTACACAACAACAAAAGTTTTTCCAATTCATCTGCTGGTAGTCCAACGTGAATGTTCTTTTCTTCCACAATTTGACGAATGATCGCGATGGTCTCGAGTAGGGGGACGTTGGTGAACAGTGCATTTACATCCATAGTTACCATATGCTTGTTTTGAATGTTTATATCTTTCAATAATGTGCACAGTTGAAACCTGTCTTTCACATGGCAGTGGGAAATTGAGTCTCGCACCGGTTTTAGAGTTTCTGCTAACCACTTGGCTAATTTGTGTTGTGGCGAGTTGCACATGGACATATTGGGTCGCAGTGGAATGCCTTCTTTGTGTAGTTTTGGCAAACCATAAATCTGTGGCGTTTGACTCCCTCTCGGTCGTAATTGTTTCACCGTGGATTCCCGAATCAGTCCCGCATGCATCACAGTTTTCAGCTCGATACTGATTTTCTTCTCCTGTTCTTGCGGATCATTGTCTTATCCACTCTGAATTTTCTTTAACCATTCAAAATAGAGCGTATTTTTTCCTTATAACAAACCTTATCCATTACAACAACACGGGATCCTTTATCTGAACGTAGAACAACCACCTTTTCATTGGATTTTGATTCCTTCAGAGCCCTCAAGTGGGCTTCAGTCAGTAGTGTACGTTGCCGCATTGATGTCGTTCGGTATTGATGTTCTATATCCACCAATTTTGCTTCGAACCAGCCAAGGGTTTCTTCATTTGTCGGTTGCAGGGTTGAGAAATTGGCGAAAAAGGCTTCCATTTTCGCTTGAAAATCTATACGGTTAGACTTCCGTGGCGGAACACAGTAGTTAAGCCCATATGATAACGATTCAAGTTGTAAACGACTGAGCTTACATGACGACATGTTTAACACAAATTTGCTCAGGTCTTAGGGGAACGGTGATACCATTAGTTCGTGGTCCAGCGAATTTTCCGCGACTTCAGTTCAAAGGAACGCGTTTGGCGAACACGATCGGAACAAAAATTCCTGAATTTG